GATTAAAATAGATAGAAGAGACTTTATTTTGGATATCAAAAGGAAATGAAATATATTTGGATGTTTAGGGTTGGGTTGGACGGAGTGGGGGTTGGCTAGCGGAACCCTTAGGTCAAAACGAAAGTTATTTTGGCCTTTCGGGCTAAAGGACTTTGAATTCTCACTAAAATGGATCATAATGTTTGAACCTAAGTCCTTTAGTTTCCATGAGGGTTTGGGATATGGGGGAGGGTATGATAGGGTCGGGCCTAAATATATCGTCCTCCTGGTCTTCAAAAGAGTTTGCCCTCAAACTCAACGGATAATCAAGACCGTCATATGGACTAAGGTCCCTTTTTTTGAATGTGGCAGCAACTCTTTGACCTCTTGTAAGGCCAACCATGTAGGAATTGTCGTTGACTCGGGCTAGCACTTCAAATGGACCATCATCTCGGAGTTTCCACCTTGACTTGCGTTTCTTAGAAAAATGCTCTCTTTGAATATGGACCCGCACTAGATCGCCGGGTTGAAAGTGGGTGGGACTTTTCAACTCATTTTTTTTCTCAAGCTTTTCACGAGTCTTATAATAAAACTCGGATGTTTCTTGTGTTCCTTCCTTACTTGGAACCTGCAAAAACTTTACAATTTTGGTACGAGGTACCGTTAGTGAAGATAACCTTCGGGGCAAGGCTCCTGCATTTCGGCTCATGACTCCACTTTAGGTCTTCTTCTCATAAAACTTTTGGGGAGTTAAACGAGTGTCTTTCTCTTCTTTAGGACGACACATGGGGCTGATAGTTGGCACGTATATGTTTGTCAATTCCTTTTTCTTCATAAGGGATGAGCATGTGTCTTCATATCCATTAAGAGAAACAATGGGATCAAATACCCATGGCTTTCCTTGGTATGGGCAGTGGATTGAATATGATCTTTGGAAAGACACCGGATTGATGGGAAGCACCACAACGATTGCTTTGGGTATCACCTTGACACAACTTCCTTTCATGGTGATAAGCAGACCATCCTCCTTTTGGTTAGCCAAATGAGTATGAGAATGGGCCAAAATCCTCAATGGCCTATCAATGACCAGGAGTTCATCTTTATATTGGCCTAGACACTTAACATCTTCTTGTCCTTCCTTTTGTCCCAAAGATTCTGATTCCTCTTCATTCTTGACCAAGGGATTTTGATTCTTTCTTGGACATTCAAAAGCATAATGACCAATCTCTTGACAATGGAAGCAATGGGTATTCTTAGGAATAGATGGGCAGGTTTTTGGTGGGGGTATGACCATGGCATTCGGTGGAGAGGCTATGGTTTTGTGGGGGTTTTGAGTTGTGGAAGTGAAGGTGGTTCTGGGGGTGTTTTGGGCAGTTTGTGGAGGGGTTATAGACATGAGTTTAGGAAAGTTTTGAGGTAGGGTTTTGGGGTTAATTAGGACAGTATTCAAGGAAGAAAAAAAGATAGTTTGTGAGGACTTTTGGGGCAGGGGTGCTAAAAGGGTATTTGGATCACTTTGGGCAGTAGCTAGGGATGAAATATATATGGGTTTTGAGGACTTTTTGGGCAGGAGTGTGGGAAGGGGTGTTGGGTTAGTTTTGGAAGTAGTCAAGGAAGAAGTATAGATGGGTTTTAAGGAGTTTTGGGGCAGAGGTGTGGAGAAGGTGTTGGGGTGAATATGGGCAGTGGCTAAGGAAGGAAAAGGGCTGGTTTGAGTTGGGTTCTTAGGTATATGAGAAGGAGTTTGTTGAGAGACATTTTGGACAGTATGATTATAAGTTGAAGAGGGGAATTTAGAGGGAGTGTGGGTTGTGGACATGGCAGTGGCTTTTTGAATGTTTTGGGAAGTATTAAGAGGGTGCAAGGTGATGGTTTTATAAGGGTATTGGACGGTGCGAATGGAGGTAGCTTGTGCAGTGTTTTGGGATGTAAGTTTTGGTGTTAAAGACATGGTTTTAGAAGGGTTTTGGGGCAGGGGTATTGAATGGGTTTGAGGATTAGTTTGGGCAGTAGATAAGGAAGAAAAGGAGGTGGTTTTTGATGGTGTTTGAAGTGTAGGTGTAGGGGAAGGAATGGAAATGGTTGTGGCAGCTTGTAAGGGGTTTGGTGTTGGGGTTTTTGGGAGGGTTACATGAACTGGTTCTTGTGGAGAAAATGGCATGGTTGTAGGAAATGTTTTGAAGGTGTTTTTGGGTACCATTTGTTGGAAATCTCTGGGCAAGAACCTCTTGATCAAGAGCGTTCTCATCTTCTCCCAAGTTTGAACCTTGACTTTTCCTTCAAGCTTTCTCTTAATGGTGACACTAGTCCACCAAGTGGAGGCATGTCTTTGGAACCGAGATGCCACTAGCTTGACCATCTTACCTTCGGGCACATCTTTGAATGTTAAGATATTCTCGACCTTCTTTAACCACCGTAAGAACTTTTCCGGATCGTTTCTTCCTTCAAACATGGGGATATCCACTGAATTTGTGAACTCTCCAATCTTCTTCATCAAAAGATCAAGCTCCTTCTTTAGTTTCTTTTGATCAACAGCTAGATCTTCATGGGACATGTATTGGATGGTGTGAGACATGTCTTGGTGGCT